TCTTCGGAGTAGGCAAATGCTTGACCTTAGTCATTGTCAGAGCATCATGGTACAGGGGGAGTTTTGGCAGGAGACTGCTTCCCTTGTTAACCTTGGGAGTTTATATTTTTTCTTGGAGTCTGTTTCCTCACTTGTAAAATGAAGCCGTCAATACTGCCTAATTAGGTTGTTGTGAGGATTAAAGGTAATTTTTATATGTCTGACAGTCTCTATATATAAAAGCCTAAGCGACCGTTAGGACGGAACGACCAGAACAACCGGTCTCTATAACACGCACTGACCACCAGGGGGCAGATGCTCAATGCAGGAGCTGCCCCCAGCCTACAGGCCCCGGTCGCCAATGGGTCCTGCCGGCCAACCTCCTGGTCCCTCTCCCGAGCCAGCAGGCCCCCAGGCTGGGACGGGGAACCGGGGGTGGGTTGTGGCAGACACAGCCCCTTTCCCAGGGGGGCCGAGGGCTGGCTCCCTCCTCAGGGTCCGCGGCCAACCTCCCAGGTCCCTTCCCCCGTCCCTCCCCCCATCCGGCAGGCCCCAATCGGCCTGCGCCCGCCCATCGTGATGGTGGTTGGCCCCTCCCCCCTGGCCAGCAGGCCCCGATTGCCTGAGCCCGGTGTCTGGCGCCTGTCGGTCAGCTGAGCAGCGCTCCCGATGTGGGAGTGCACTGACCACCAGGGGTCAGCTCCTGCGTTGAGCATCTGCTCCCTGGTGGTCAGTGTGCATCATAGTCAGTGCGAAGGCTTTTATATATATAGATAGTCCCGGGTCCATGGTTGTAAGAGTTGACCATTGAATCTGGAGTTGAAAGAGACATAGTCATTATTTTGTGTAATAGTTTTAGAACTATCCTGACACTTTGCAGGAATGTCTTCAGGGGTGACATGAGAGGAGTGAGGTAGACTTCAGGCAGAGATGCTTTTCCCTGTATTATAGATTGACATTTCATCTAAGATTTCATTTGAACTTTCAGTCATTGAAAACAAAAGTGTTTTAAGTTTTTAGTCCAGCTTTCTACCATCCAGTGCAGGAATATACTTTACAACATGACTGACAGATAATGACTTATGAGAACAGTTTTCTAAGTTCTAAGCCTTCATGTGTTTTAAAACCTTGGTAAATTCTTTTAGAGAAGCAAACTTTGCTTAGCCTGTCAGAGTTCAAGGCAGTTAATTAATATTTATGGAATCATAGAGCTGGAAAGGATCTTAGAAGAGATGCAGAGAAGGGGAAAGACTGCTGATAACAAGAAGTAGTGTAGTGAAATGGTTCAGAACACAGATCCTGAAGCCAAACAGCTCGAATCCCACTCTGTGATCTAGGGCAAGTTGCTTAACCTCTCTGTGCTTCAGTTTTCTTATAAATAATATGGGATAATAACAATAACTACCTCACAGGGTTATTAGCAGGATCAAAATAATTATAGAAAAGCTCTTAGAACTGTGCCTAGCATGTTGTAAATGCCCGATTTAACTACTATTACTGGTAGTATTATGATCATCATTATTTATTGAGATCCACTTCTGTATCACCTCATTTAACACTCAAATGAAGAAATGGAGATACTATAAGATAATTTGCCCAAAGTCAACACAGCTGTCTCTATAAATCATTTCATTCACCTCCCTCCTTTTATAAATAAGACCAAAACTTGGGTAGGTGAATTAATTTATTGGGGGCCATCCTGCTGGTCAGTGACAATATCTGAATTATAATATCAGTTTCTCAGGCTTGGCCTAGGATTGTTTCTCTTTAGGGGGTTTAATAGAGATCTTGATCTGATGTCTTAATTTTTTAAAAATCTCTGTGGCAAAGGTGATGTCAGCTGTCCAAAACCATTATTTTGGTTGGAAATTGTCAAGCTTTATAGAAGCATATGGGCTAGGGTCTTACTGATCATGGAGAGCAGAAACCTTGTAATCCTCTTTATAGTCAAATGCCATATTTTTGAAGATGACAAAGATAAGGTCAAATATTGTGACTTAACTTCTGATTTCTGTATGCTATGAAAAAAAAGTACATGCAGACCAAAGTAATAAGACCGTGGGATGTTACTGATGTTAACGTGGTCCATACCTTCATCCTCAGTTGTGAAATATGTTCTAAGTCCACCAAGCGTTTCCATCATCTCTTTCTCTGGTAAGAGTGAAATCATCTTCATTTCTCAGTTCAACTTGGCAAGCATGCCTCTGGCTGCATATATTCTATAATGTAATAGAGATTATATATAACTTGCCCGCATTTGTCTTTTGTATATATGATATATTGATACCCCTTAATTACCTTTACACTTGGATTTTTGTATCAATTGAAAAATGAACATTTATAGTGTTTAGTGTCACCAATTGCCCAATAAAAATTTATTTCTACAATGATGTCATTTTTGTTTTGTAGGACTTAAGCAATGATTTGTAGGAATTGTTTTGGATTTTTATTTATTTTATGAAGATTGAGTAGAATGGAAAAAAATGAAGCTGGTGATACAAGTGGTGTTAAGAGCTAATATTTACTGTGCACTTTCTACATGTTAAGACACTTTATTAACCCCTGTACTTTCTTTGTTATTTAAATAGGTCTCATAGTCATTATATAGTAGAGTGGCAGAGCTTAAAACCAAAAACCATTGGATTTTGGGTCAGAAGCAGCGAACTTAAGCTGATTAACTATATATCCAATTGTGAAGGAACATATTATATCTAAATATAGCATGTGTTGATTTCTTTTTTCTCAGTTACAATTAGGAATTAATTTTTCTTACTGTGTATAGCTACTTCCTCCACTCCAATCATATTCCTTCATATGGAGGGATTTTTGCTGTTTCCACTATGCCCACTAAATGCTTACGGGAGAAAGTATAAAATGGGAACTTCTCATCCAGGCTCTAGGGTGGTACCTAGAAGCCAGTCTTTGATACTTGAGATAAAATATAGCTTCCTAAATATTTTAGTCCTCCTTCCTAGGTATGAGCACCTACTAATTGAAATGTCTTTTTTTAGATGTTAAACATTATGCCAACAGTTTAGTTCTCTGGAAAACATGGAAACAATTAGTAGAAAATAAGACAAAATGTACTTTCTCTTTAGACCATTGAATGGGGATGGAAGGAGAGGGGACCAAATAAGTGATAAAGAGAGTCTCAATGTTACTGTGAATATTATAATTCCTACAGGAAATTGAGGGTGAAATCTGGTGTGCATGTTGGAATTGAAGCAAAGAGAAGTAGAAAACTACAGATCACAAAAATGAAATCTTTTTCAATTATAAAGCAAGAAAAATTGTAGCGTAACTTACCCTGGCCAGGTAGCTTGGCTGGAGCACAGTCCCATACACTAAAAGGTTCAATTCCTGGTCAGGGCACATACCTAAGTTTTGCATTCGATTCTCTGGTTGGGGCATGAACAAGAAACAATCGATCAATGTTTCTCCTCTCCTCTCTCTCTCCCCCTGTCTCTCACCCCCGCCTCCCTCTCTCACTTCCCCTCTATCTAAAATCAGTAAACACATAGCCTTGGGTGAGTATTAAAAGCAATGTATTTTATTTTGAGTCAGGAGACTAGTGAAGAGAATGACAATAGATGTGGAGCAACAACCAGAGTCTACAAGGAGTTTAATGTGTGGTTATAAAGGGAAAAGGCTCCTGTGCTTTGTGGAAGAAATAAAGGAAATGTGGGAAGCCAGTTAAATTTGGGGGGAATCGGTGGTGGGGGATAGGTGACAAAATAGAGGGAAGTTTTGGTGTGCAGTGCCAGGACGGCGGAAGTCTGATGACATCTTGATTGGGCTATATGTTGATGAACAGCAGAGCAGGCTTGATAGGTGTATGACTGTAGAGACAAGGTGGAAACCTATCTTCATTTGGGGCTGCTGGGACTTGCTCAGAGACACTTTCCGATCTATTTAAAATCATAATAGTCATTGTTTTAACTTCATTTAAAAGCATTTTTAGGTCAAAATATTCAAGTTCTCAAAAATGAAGGTACTTCGAAAATATCTTCTGATAGAGTTCTTTATCATGGACTTTTTTTTTTATTATGGTAAATCTTTCATTTATATCCGTAGTAAGCATCTTTCAAAATATTCTATAAACAGACCCTTCAAAGCATTTCTGCAGGAAGACATAATGTAAATCAGCCAGGATTATGTGTCTCAAATGGATTAGGAAGAGATCAGGTATATAAAATCAGAGACAAAGAGCTCAGCTTTGGGAAAATTTGGTGGGTGTGAAGCTTGGGAAGGACAAACTTCAGAGAGTCTCATGAAGTAGAAAGCCAACGAGAAGAATGACGTTCGCCAGGGTGAGGCCGAGCCATAAGAACTTGTAGGTGGGAGAGCCAGATTTTGATGTTATTAAGAGAGACCCAGGTCTGCAATTTTTGTTTTAAATGAATAAAATTAAGGTTTGATAAAATTGTTTTTATTTCAATTTCTAGAACTGTTATATGATTTTCCAAAATGAAGACTGTAAGTGACAAAGTAGAAAATTGGCAGCCTGGCATGTAGTTGTCACTGGAGGAAGGAGGGGCCCAGGGAGTGGGACAGTGTAAACTTACCCATCTGGCTGCATTTCTCTCTTCTGTGATAAGAGCCGCCCACCTTCCTCCCAGTGCAGAACTGCTCCTCTGGCTAATTCCAAATGAGCTGTTTATCAACATGCAGAGAGCTGACTGGCAGTCCTCCGAGTCTAGCTATAGTTCTATATCAAGCTTCTTCTCTTCTCTTCTCTTCTTTTAGTTGTTAAATCTTTTCCTTGAACTTCAGAACCACACACCTACTGCCTGTTTAGTGTCTCTATTTGGATATAACAAAGCAACTCAGACTTAGTATGTTCAAAAGTGAAGTCATCGTCTTACCTGAGCTGTACATCATATTTTATTTCCTGTCTCAATGAATTTACTACCTCCTTTCATTTGCCCATAACAGAAATCTGGGCCTCTTTCTGGGTTTTTGTTCTACTTTACCCCCCACTTCAGTTAGTTGACAAGACTGTTTGGTACATTATCCCTAATGCTGCTGCCAGGTTCAAACCATCATTATCTTTCAACTAAATCACTTCTTCACCCTGATCTTGCTTCTCCTCCACCCCATCTCCCCATCCTCCTCATTCTCTACACTGTAGCCAGAATGATCTTTCTGAAATATAACTTTAAGTCTTCTTATTGCCTTCAGGATAAAAATAAAAACTCCTTCCCCTGGTAATGACTTTACCTTCTTGATGTGGCACCTGCTTACCTGTTTGTTAATTGTCTCAAGTCCACTTACACTGAACTGTTTGCAGTACCCAAGTGGCTTGATCGCCCTTGTCTGTGGTGTCTTGTATATGCTACTTCTTCTTACTGACATCCATTTTTCTGCCATCCCCACTCCACAAATTCTCCTTCAGGCTTTGGCTAAAATGCCACTTTCTCTAGGAAGCCTTCCATGATCTTTCCAAACTAGATTAGGTGTCTTGCTTGTGTATGTCTATAAAAGCCTATTTTCCTTGATTGGATTTGTCATACTGTACCTCACCTGTTTACTTGTCTACCACCCCCAGAAGACTTTAAAGGTCCTGAAGGCAGGTAGTTATAATTATTATCAGTACGGTCTCTGGCATATAGTAAGGGCACAGTAAATGTCTTCGGTTTGTTTTTTTTTCCCTCTCTTTTTAAGAAAACTGTGGTAAAATATATATAATATAAAATTTATCATTTTAATTATTTTAAGTGTACAGTGCAGTAGTGTTAAGCACATTCACATTGTGCAGCCATCACCACTGTCCACTACCAGAATATTTTCATCATATAAAACTGAAAACAACCTACCCATTAGACAATGCTCCCTTCCCCTAGCCTTCAGTAACCACTATTCTACTTTTTGTCTCTAGGCATTTGACTATAGGTACCTCATATAAATGGAATTATCCAATATTTGAATTTTTGTATCTAGTTTAATCACTTTGTGTAATGTCTTCAAGGTTCATCCATGTTGTAGCATGTGTCAGAATTTCCTTCCTTTTCAAGGCCGAATAATATTCCATTGTATGTATGTAGCACATCTTGTTTATCCATTCATCTGTCCACGGACATTTGGGTTGTTTTCACATTTTGGCTCTTGTGAATAATGCTGCTATGACTGTGGGTGTACAAATATCTGGTTGAGTCCCTGCTTTCAATTCTTTTGGGCATATACCTAAAAGAGGAATTGCTTAATCTTCTGGTAATTCTGTGTTTAATTTTTTGAGGAAATATCATACTGTTTTTCATAGCAGCACGAGGTTTTCAGTTTCTTCACATTCTTGCAAACACTTGTTATTTTCTGTTGTTGTTGTTGTTTGTGTGTTTTGCTTTATAATAGCCATCCGAGTGAGTGTGAAGTGGTATCTCATTGTGGTTTTGATTTGCATTTCCCTAATGATAAGTCACATTGAGCATCTTTTCATTTGGTTATTGGCCATTTGTATATCTTCTTTGGAGAAATGTCTAGTCAAGTTCTTTATTCATTGCTTAGGTTGATTGTTGTTGTTTTTGTTGGGTTGTAGGAATTCTTTATGTATTCTGAGTATTAAACTCTTATGAGTTGCAAATATTTCTCCCATTCTGTGGGTTGCTTTTTCACTCTCTTGATAGTGTCCTTTTATGCACAAAGGTTTTTAATTTTTATGAAGTCCAAATTTTTCTTTCGTTGCTGCACTTTTGGTGCAAAATGCAAGAAATCGTTGCCAAATTCAGTGTCTTGAAGCTTTTCCCCTATGATTTTTCTAAGAGTTGTACAGTTTAGCTTTTACATTTAGATATTTTACCCATTTTGAGTTAATTTTTGTATGGCATAAGGTAAGAGTCCAACTTCGTTCTTTTGCATTTTGGTAACCAGTTTTCCCAGCACCATTTATTGAAAAGACTGCCCGTCCCCGCATTGAATGGTCTTGGCACCCTTGTTGAAAATCATTTGACTATATATGTGAGGGTTTCTTTCTAGGCTCCCTAATCTATTCTGGTCTATATATCTGTCTTTATGTCAGTTCCACACTGCTTTGGTTACTGTATTAGTAGTAACTTTTGATATCAAAAATTGAGTTATTCAATTTTGTTCTTTTTTAAGTCTGAGACAAATTTTAACACTACTTGCTCCTGACATTTTTTTCTGGTGTGCCCTTGCCTGAAGTGTTTCCTTTAACAATTCTACCCAGATGTCTTTCTTCCTTCTTCCCTGTTACAAGCTCACTCAGTGCCAGTTTTCTTTTTCTCTTCCGGTCTTTTCTCCTTAATTTAGATTCATCTTTATTTTTATGTGCCCAGGCTACAGCTAGCATTTTAAAATCTTGGTCTTCCTGGATGACCAAAGGAAGAGAGCCTTGATCATCTGTGGCCCCACCTTTGAGTCTAGTTCAGTCTCTTTTGGAACTCTCAGGTTTAAAAGTCACTTACATTGTTCGTTCATCACCTTAGCACTGCAGGAAGAAGAAAGCTGAGATAGTAGTGGGATGATGCACAGGGCAAAGTACCTAAGAGATGGTGGTATGGGAAAAGAGCATTTTATTGGAGGCCAAGAACTGTGTACTATAGCTCTGCATCTGTCACTAATTTGCAGTTAGACAACATAGCTTCTCTTATTTAATTTACTGGTAAGTTTATTACAGTAAGGATAGTTGGACTATATGGTCTAAGTCCTAAAAAGGTTATTTTTACTTTTTGCAAGACAATTTCCTCAGAAGGAGTTGAAGCTGGTTTTAATGGATGAATAGAATTTAGGTAAGAAGGAAAGAGAGACTTCAGGAGATTTAAAACAAGGAAATGAAAGTATATTTAGGAATCAATGAAAATAAGAGTGACCAGACTTTTTATTAAGTGAGGCAGAGTCAGTTGGATATCCACATAGCAAAAGAATTAACCTTGACCTCTATCTCACAGGATATACAAAAATCAATTTTAAATGACTTGAAATCTAAATAAGAAAAGTAAAACAATAAAGCTTCTAGAAGAAAACATAGGCTATTAGCTTCATGACCGTAGGATAGGCAAAGATTTCTAGAGCGAACAAACAATCAAACAAAAGAATGTCTATCAGGTAGAATGGAGAATTAAATTGTTCTATATTCATACGCAGAATACTACACAGTAATAAAAAAAATGTATCATGCTACACATACAACAAAGATTCATTTCACAGAAATAATGTTGAAAGAAAGAAGCCAGACCCTGAAGAGTATACTTATATTCCATTTATGTGAAGTTCAAGAACAGGCCAAACTAATCTGTGGTGATGGATATCAGATAACCATGGCTGGGAGAGTATGGGGTTGGTGGTTATTGACAAGAGAGCCATCTGGAGTGCTGGAAATAAATACATATCTTGATCTGAGTAATTGTTACTGGGGTTGGTGGTTATTGACAAGAGAGCCATCTGGAGCGCTGGAAATAAATATATATCTTGATCTGAGTAATTGTTACACACACACACACACACACACACACACACACACACAATAACCAGTCTGTACACTTAAGACCTGTTCACTTGTACTATGTTCTACCTTAGAAAAACAAACTAGAAAACCAAAACAAAAACAGTTACCAGAGTAGATGTTCTTGTAGGGAAGCAGTGGAAGAAAATGCTTGAGAAGTGAGGTTGTAAAAGGCCTTGAATGGCAGTGAAATGGATTCAGTCCATAACTCTGATAGTTCAGAGGGAGGGAAATGACATAATGGAGGCATATTTTTAGGGAAACAGACCTTTGGAGATGTGCTGGGTGGACTGAAGATTGGTCCACAGTGGGAGACTGTTGCATATGACCTGAATTAGGGTGATGCTAATTTTTTGGTTTGTTTTTCACTATTTAATGTCTTTTTTTCAATTACAGTTTACATTCAATATTTTGTATTAGTTTCAGGTGTGCAGCATAGTGGTTAGGAAATCATATACTTTACGAAAGTGTTCCCCTGATATTTCCAGTACCCACCTGGCACCATACATAGTTATTACAATATTACTGGCTATATATTCCCTATGCTGTACTTACATAAGAGGTACAAACTACCAATTTGTACTTCTTAAACCCTCACCTTTTTCACCCAGTTCTCTAACCCACTCCCCTTTGGCAACCATCACTCTGTCTTCTGTTTATGAGTCTGCTTCAATTTTGTTTATTTGTTTATTTTGTTCTTTGGATTCTATATATAGGTGAAATCATGTGGTATTTGTCTTTCTGTGACTGACTTATTGGGTGATGCTATTTTAAATGGAAACTCAGAAGGAAGAATTAGTAAGGCTGGTGAATGGGTTGGACAAGGACAGCAAAGACGACAGGGAAAACATGACTGAGGTTCCATACTTAGGTGCCTGGAAAAATGATGGCCCCAATAACAGAATTTAGAAGGCCCGGAGAAGGAATCAGTTTGGGAAGTAAAAACGTGTAGTTTTTTTTATTTTTAGATCATATATTTTTATTTATTTCAGAGAGGAAGGGAGTGGGAGAGCGAGATAGAAACATCAATGATGAGAGAGAATCATTGATCAGCTACCTCGTAGAGGTCAAGTCCCCAACCTGATCATGTGCCCTGATTGGGAAGGTTGACGCTCAATCACTGACCAATACCGGTCAAGCCCAGTGGTGACAGCAGTTGTGGGGTTCAGAAGAACAGTCAGGGCTCTTTGGATAGGAATCTGAAAATCACCCACGTACAGATTATTTTGAGTAGATGAGATCCCTGAAAGAAAGTGTATCAGAGAGATTGCAGAAGGCCGGCCCTTAGAAAAGGAAAAGGTTGTAGGGGAAGAGGAGACTGCAGATGTGGATAGAACCAGGATCATTTAAGGCAAACGAAGAGAGAGTGGGTGGTGGGGGTGAAGATTAAAGGAGAAGATACAGAAGTAGGAGAGGAAAAGGAAAGATTGAGAATGTCATAGAGAGCAGGGGTAATTGAAGGAACATGGTCTTGGGGAAGTCAGGAGGAAATAGGATCTGGAAGCAAAGGCAGAGGACTTAGCCTTGGACAACTTTACCTGTGAAGAACCCAGGTGTGTATATCATGTCACAAGAGTTTGTCAGCATCTTCAGTGACTTCCTTGCAGTATTATTTGTCCTCTAAGTCGGAACTGAGGGAGACTCAAAGTTGAAAATGAGTGTGGCTATGGGAACCATGGAGTCCCAGGGATTTGGACTAATTTTGGGTTCCAGACATAATCCAATTCTCTGTGGAAGGATACAAAAGAAGTTTAAGATACCACCCATGACCTCTGGGAATTTATATGGTGCAATTCAACAATAATTAAAAGCCAAAACAAATGTGAGCAGGATGTTTTGAGTCCTGACTATGTCATTTTCTAGCATGTAATTTAATAATATCTACCTCATTTATTGTTCTGGAGATTAAATGAACTAATACAAGCAAGGTGCTTGGACCAATGCCTGAAACATAGTAAGTACATGATAAATGTTAGCTAAGATCATGATAAAGCTTTAGGAGTTCACAAGGGGAAAATAGTAAAGGCTGGAGCTGGTGGGAAGGCTCCTAAGATCATGATAAAGCTTTAGGAGTTCACAAGGGGAAAAATGGTAAAGGCTGGAGCTGGTGAGAAGGCTCTGTAGAGGAGTGGGGATTTATGGGAGGAAATTCAGGGATAGATAGGAGGAAATGGATGAAGAAGAAGGAATTCTAAGTTGGGGAAAACATTGTAAATGAAGTCTTGGATTAGTGAAACTATTGGTCTTTGCATGTAACTTACTCGATGACTCAGATGCTTCCTGTTGTGAAGTACTGGGAGTTAGAGTAGGATAGGAGGATAGATAACTGATCCTATTTAATAAAAGGCTAATATGCAAATCGACCCAACTGATATATAATAAAAGGCTAATATGCAAATCAACCAAACTGAGGAACGACCGGTTGCTATGATGCACACTGACCACGAGGGGGCAGACGCTCAATGCAGAAGCTGCCCCCTGCTGGTCAGTGCGCTCCCACAGGGGGAGCGCCGCTCAACCAAAAGCCAGGCTCACAGCTGGCGAGCACAGCAGCAGTGGCAGGAGCCTCTTCCACCTCCACTGCAGGCGGGTGGTAAGGAGTGAGGGGTCCTGGACTACGAGAGCCCCGGACTGCGAGAGGGATGTCTGCCTGTCGACTTAGGCACGACCCCCCCGGGATTGGGCCTAAGCCGGCAGGCAGACATCACCCGAGGGGTCCCGGACTATGAGAGGGCGCAGAACGCGCTGAGGGACCCCCCCCCCCTCCAGTGCACAAATCTTGTGCACCAGGCCTCTAGTATTTGTCATAATAGCAGGAGTGTGAATTGAGGAGTCAGAGCTCTTTGGTTGTGATTTTTATCCTGGCCCTGTGTCTTTGGGCAGGTTGTCCAGCCTCTTAGGTCCCCAAGTTTCCTAACCTATAAAATGAAATGGACTGGATCTGTAATCCCTCAAAGCTGTAAAATTTCATGCTTCATATGTGCAAACGACCTATTTGACCATACCGCCTGTGGAACCGTGTTCTTTTGCACAGCGAGAAGCTGACAGGTCTGCGTGGGGCTAACTTGTGGTTCTGGCCTCATTAGTCCTGTGCTGTGAGTGAGCCGACCAGCCTGCATGTGGACACTACTTACTGCCTTTGCAACGCGTAGCGATCACACCACTAGAGAAAGCTGGGATCTCTGCGGGTGTATTTATAAAAGGAGCCCCTGGGTATTTCACTCCCAAACTATTTAGAGTTAACTCCACTACTGTTCTCCTGAGGAGCCTGGAGTTTTATGGGTGGTGCCTTAAAGTGGACCCTGAGGGCTAAGGAGGAGGGAAAGCACAACCTCTAGCTTTAAAAATAAAAATCTCAGATTGTCTTTGTGGGGCTCACCGAACTACAGGAAGAGCAGCGCCAGGAGCACCCGTTGAACTGCCAGTGACACCCTAAAGCTTTCATGGTTAGACTCACCTGCCAGGGTCCTTTTGTGACAGTCACCCAACACTGTGTCCCTTTTGACATTAGGGAGTCCTTTGTCTCAGGGCATGGATTTACATAAACCTGTGTAAATGGAAATGGAAATTGCTTTCAAATACCATGCTTAGACATCATTGGCTCTGTTTTGGCACTACCTCAGTTGTTCTTTTCAGAAGGGAATTGTGGTTTGTTACTCTGTTCTCTCTTCCTGTCCTTCCTGCTTTGAACCCCTCTCGGGTTGCACGCAGGCTTTTCTGCTGTCATTCACCCCGCAGGGCTGCAATGCTGTTGCATCAGGAAGTCCTCTAAAATGCCTCTCCCATCTGCTTTTCCTTGCTGCTGTGTGGGGGTGCGGAGAGCAGTGTCTGCCCTCTCCACAGAGGAAAGTGTTTTGCGTTTGTCTCTGGCAGGAGCTTGGTCATCAAAGAAGGTACTTCTGAGCTTTTATACTGGATGGATTTTACACAACTTGGTGAATTGAAAAATACCTTGAAACAGAAGAGCCAACGCAGATGGAAGCTATTTTATCTATATTTTGTGCCTCCAAAGTTTTGAAAGGTTTAGTGTTTTCAGAAGCTGGAAAGACTGACAATTTACCCTTGTGTTGTCCTTGGAAATTATAGTATTTCCTGGGAAATGGAGTTCCAGGAAAGGAAGGTGACTTGTCCAAAGCTAACACATATGCCTGGGTGACATTAAATGTGCCTTATTAGTTTAGAATAAAAGTTCCTTGAGGATATGGAATTTATTTATTTACTTTTTAAAAAGATATATTTTATTGATTTTTGACAGAGAGGAAGGGAGAGGGACAGAGAGTCAGAAACATCGAGAGAAACATCGATCGGCTGCCTCCAGCACACCCCCCACTGGGAATGTGCCTGCAACCAAGGTACATGCCCTTGACCGGAATCGAACCCAGGACCCTTCAGTCCATAGGCCGACGCTCTATCCACTGAGCCAAACCGGTCAGGGCTGGAATTTATTTTTGTACAGTAGTTGTATGTGGTTCCTAACAATGAGTTACATCTTTTTTAAAAAATATATTTTATTGATTTTTTACAGAGAGGAAGGGAGAGGGATAGAGAGTTAGAAACATCGAGAGAGAAACATCAATCAGCTGCCTCTTGTACACCCCCTACTGGGGATGTGCCCGCAACCAAGGTACATGCCCTTGATGGGAATCGAACCTGGGACCCTTCAGTCCGCAGGCCGATGCTCTATCCACTGAGCCAAACCAGTTAGGACAATGAGTTGCATCTTAAGTGAATAATAAATACCAGCATTCAGGAAACTCCCATCTTTTGATCTTCTAGCTGATCATTCCCCTGAGGGGTGGTTATGACATGACCTAATCCATTCACGCCACAGATTTTTCTGAAGAGAAAAGTAACCATGTCATGGAAGAAACGATGTGGTGCAGAGGTTGTGAGTACAGGCTGAGTGAGACGGTTTAGTCTGGCCTCCTTTCCGAGCAGTGATTGATTAATGCTGTCTGTGTTGCTTTTCCTTCCAGAGCTGGCCTGTCCTGGACGCAGCATAACTAACGAAGCTGCTGCAGGATGAGAAGATGGCAGGGCGGCTGCTCGCACCACCAGGCCCTGATAGTTTCAAGCCTTTCACCCCCGAGTCGCTGGCAAACATCGAGAGGCGCATTGCCGAGAGCAAGCTCAAGAAACCACCAAAGGGAGATGGCAGCCACCGGGACGACGATGAGGACAGCAAGCCCAAGCCCAACAGTGACCTGGAAGCCGGGAAGAGTTTGCCTTTCATCTATGGGGACATCCCACAAGGCCTGGTCGCTGTTCCCCTGGAGGACTTTGACCCATACTATTTGACGCAGAAAGTGAGTGGCAGGAGGTGGAGGGACAGCTTCAGATTCCCCTTTCCTCGCAGGCTTGGGGCAAACGGGAGAAAGAGCTGCCTCTTTGCCAAAGTTTGGATAAGTAGTTAACCTTTCGTTGCAGTTCTGGCTCATGGGGATTATTTTTCAGTTTAATTGCTGCTAAGGGTCATTTGTGGGCTGTGGCACTTCTGAACTCTCTTAATAAGACTTATGTTTTTTGGCTCCTGCCCAGATTAGAAGAAGAGGACATAAATGGAATGGAAGTATTTAATAGAGTCCAAGAAAGATGGCATAGTAAAAGATGGTATAGCCCTAAAGAATCTCACACTCACATTCAAATTCTATCTTTTAAATATAAAGATGGCCCTGGCCAGTGTTGCTCGATGGTCAGAGCGTTCTTCCCTCCCTCCCTCCTACTCTCTCTAAAAATCAATGGAAAGAATATTCTCAGCTGAGGATTAGCAAAAAATAAAAAAAAATAAGGTTGTTGTTGGTATTGTGACTTTAACAGAGCCTGTTAATACAGTGGAGATGATGGATTTGTACTCTTACCAGCTCTATTTTTTACATTGAAGCATCGCTACTGGGCACAGGAATAGAATAGAGGAAGCCAAACTGGGTCAATGAGGAGAGACTCTGGGTCCTCTCTCTCTCTCTCTCTCTCTCTCTCTCTTCCTTCCCCTTCTTCCCTCTCTCCCTCCTACTCTCTCTAAAAATCAATGGAAAAAATATTCTCAGCTGAGGATTAGCAAAAAATAAATAAAAATAAGGTTGGTGTTGGTATTGTGACATTAACAGAGCCTGTTAATACAGTGGAGATGATAGATTTGTACTCTTACCAGCTCTATTTTTTACATTGAAGCATCGCTACCGGGCACAGGAATAGAATAGAGGAAGCCAAACTGGATCAATGAGGAGAGACTCTGGGTCTTTGGCCTTGTTACACAGTTGTCTGGGTTGAGCGAGCACTGATTCTTGCATTAGAGTCTATCCTGTTATTCCTGCTAGTAAGAAGCATAGGTGAAAGAAATACCAGTCTTCATTTGGTCGAATTTCAAAACTCCCTAACAAATAATCGACCAAACCTTGGGTTTCTTCCTCATGATTAACTTACAAAACAAGGCAACAAGTAGAGAAGCAGAGCCCCCCGGATAATCCACCAGCCAAGCAATTAGCCATTGAACAGTGAGGACTAACATTGGATACCATTTTAGGGGATCCCTCTTTTAACAGATGTCATTTAAGTAATTAAATCAATCGTTTTTCCAGATTCGGGAGGGGGGATTGTGTAATTATATTTTTATAAATATAAAGCTTAACTAAACTGCCTTTATTAACAAAACTGCCTTTAATTAAATCTCCTTTTAGTATTTCCATTTTAGAAGAAATTTCCGTTTCTTTGGCTTAATTATGGGACAGAAGTAAGACGAGGCCAATAGATCTCTTGACTTAGTTATACTTATGGAAGCACTTTTAGTTCAGGATGGCAAAAGCATTTAAGACACTCTCTACACAAAATGGTCCTACCTAATAGGAAAAAGTGGAACCGGTAGCTTATATCTTCCACTGGGAAATTTAGAAAGTGTAAGGAACACAACATAATATAAAGAACAGTAGACTGGATATAATAAATCCTGACTCTGCCATAATTTACCATGCTTATTATTTCTGTTTTTCTTTTTTTAGTATATGTATTTTTCAAGCTACAAAGTAATTTATGGGAAAAGAAAGTAATAAGTGAAGAAACAAACTTCTCAAAACTAATTCATGCCCTTTAGCGAGTCACTGCACATCTATAGACCTAAATTTTCTCATCCAGAAACTGAGAAGTTGGACATAATTTTTAAGGATTTTTTTTCAGATACCAAGTTCTGGACCTAAGCAGTTTTCATAAACTGTCATCAATTTCCCCATTTACTCTTCCCTTTTTTGAAGTTTAACTTTTTTACATGGGCCTTTGCGAGTAGGGGTACGTGGATGAGAGAGGAGGCAAACTTACTTTCTGGGTGAATGAATAAGGGAGCATAGAAACTTCGACTGTTTTTAGGAAAATATTTTAGTCGTAAAGTTTTGAAATATATTTTCTTCCTCTTTCCTACACTTGCATCCATGTCCTTATTAGAACTATAAATGAATGATAACTTGCAGGATTCAGGTTGTGCCTACTTAAATAAGTTTGGCCAGTTGGTGTAACTTTTTCAGAAAGTACTCATAGCAATAAGCAGACAGGTAAAGCCTGTTGGACCCTTGCCTTTCAGATGGTTAAAACCTCTTTACTTTTATTTGAACTCTTTATTTTTCTACCTCATATACAAATTAAATTTTCTTTTTTGATCCTGAATTAATATATGAAAAACATATAGAGCTATTTGCTGTCAGAGCCCCAGTGTTCCTTTTCATGCCTTCCTGTGATTCCTGCCCTATAGACAATATCTAATGTCTTAGACTTCAGCGGCGCTGGCCTGGGGGAGAGGAGCCAAAGTGGGTGGGTTTCTGGCCCTGCTCAGTATCATTCCTTAGGTACGCCAGATACTGATAATGTTCCAGGAGGGACTGGCTTTCGTGATAGACAGTCTGACTTCAGCCTTTGGTTTCACCATATGGGTAAATAGTTCATGGAAAGAATAGCTTTAATTGTTGTGTTGTTATTTTTGAAATCCTTTAAAAATAATTGTGAACTATACCACCATACTATGCCACCATGCAGAAAAGTTTGTAAGTACCTAATTTAATGATTATTATAAAGCAAACAAAGTAACACCCATGACAAGAAAGAACATTAGTAGCACTTCAGAAGTTTTAATTATGCTTTTAAGTAAGGGATTTTTCAGTTGATTAAAGATAAGTTTGCTAAAGCTTACTTGCAAATCTTCACTGGCATTACTTCTTACTAACTAGGCCTTTCACTACGTCAAATTAGCAAGGTCTCCCCTTCAAGGAAGCACACTGGGGATTAAACCAAAATAAAAAAATCCTGAGGTTAGAAATGACTTTAAGAGGACATTCCGTTCTATAGTTTTTCCAGAACTGCCTTAAATAATTCTTGCAAAATAGAATTTCTTTTCTTTGCTAAATGATGAAAGTGGATTTCTTTATCTTTTCAAATTAATTAATAGTTTTTGTTACTCTTATAGAAACTTGTTTCTTATTTTCTTCCCTCTTTATTTTAAGGGTGAAAGAAAGCTACTTCTCTGTTAGTAAAGTCCTGGTTTCATCCCATTGTGGATTTCACACTATCCAGGCACTCAGAGCCTTAATATTTGTATATCACATTTTCAGGATACTCTTGTACCAGCTGGTGCTGGTTTGAGCTGTCATCTGCTTCTTGGCGTCCTCAACAGTATTGTCCACGTTGCATTTCAACTGACTTCCCTGCTGGTTCTTGAAAAACCTGGATCGTCCTCTCTGTGGATTGCCTCAGACCTCCCAATGCTACAACATTTTCTTTGCCTCTTGGCACCTTGTTCTAATGTCTTTGTCTTTCTTGTTTTACAACTGTTTCCTGTAAATAATGGAATTTGAGGAGCACTTGAAATTTTTATTTATTTAATTTTGAAAATAGGTACTATATTTACATGGTTAAAAATTCAGTAAAAAGATATTCTTACAAAAGGTATTCAGTAAAAAGTCTCCTTTTTACACCTTACTCTCTCTGCTCACTTCCTGTCTTCCTGAGCAGGTAACCACTGTTAGTAGTATCTTCCAGAGTTTCTTTATATATGTACAAGCAAAAACAAGTAGGTATTTCAAGGAACTTGAACTCTCCTAAATGCCTTTTTTTTTGTTGTTTTCTCTCTGCTATTTTGCTAAGCCTGCTGAAGTCTTAATTTTGTTATTTGTTTTCTCTTCTTTCATAATATGGAATCTTAAGTTTTATCAGTGTAAATTCTCAATGCATTTCTCTTCCCTCACTTTTATAGAGAATCAAATCAAGGACTTTTTTGTATTGCTTGAAGTGTGTCTCTGTGTTCGCTACAAAAAATACTCTCCAATGCTTAATAATAACTTGTTGAATCTTAAATGGCCACATATATTTCTAATAACTGTCTTAAGGCAGCAAGAATGTCTGTGGATAAGTTGAAAGAAAGCCTTCAGAGTAGGCGCCTACCCCTTTTCCTATTTCTTAAAACTGGTCATTGATTTGTGTATTCTTTTTGTTTAATTTGGTATGTCCTCTTATAAGAAAGTCCTGGGGGGTGGAGATACGGGGAGGTGGAGGAGGGTAAAGGGATAAATGGTGATGAAGGAAACTTGACTTGGGGTGGTGAACACATAATACATTGTACAGATGCTGTGTTGTGAAATTGTGCACCTGGAACCTATATAATTTTGTTAACCTCAATAAATTCAACTTAAAAAAAGTCCCATAAACAAAAATCCAAATTATAGAATTGACTGAGCCTTTAAATAGGGCACATGTGGTTTCCCAAAGCTCATTTTACCTTCTACTTTTCATGTCTGCCTTTTCCTGCAAATTAAAGGCTACCTAGAATCATAGAAAATTATATTATGGTAGCCTTAGAGATCCTCTCATTTAGCCTCCTCATTTTATAAATGTAATGAGGTGTAAAGTACTTTGTTAGAAGCCAACCCACCAGCCCTGGCCAGTGTGGCTTAGTTGATTGAGCATTGTGGGATTAATTGTGGGATCAATTCCCAGTCAGGGTATATGCCTGGATTGCGGGCTCGATCCCCGACAGGGGGCGTGCAGGAGTTAGCTGATCAATGTTTCACTCTCACATCAATGTTTTGTTTTTTCCTCCCTCCCTCCTTCTCTCTCTCTCTCTCTCTCTCTCTCTCTCTCTCTCTCTCTCAAAATCAATTTAAAATACTTAAGGGAAAAAATAAAAGCCAACATCATCATTAGTCTTAGAGCGAGGACTAGAACCCATACCTCCTAACTCTTAGTTCATTACAACATATTTCTAGTTCCCTACGTTTCTGATTTTTCATTAATTGGTCCTCAGCTTCAACTGGCTCTGTTCTGAAGCTAGACAGGC